CTTTGTTGAATGATTGAATTTCAACAATTTCTCTTTTAGCTTTTTCTGAATAAGTTAACTGCTCGTTGAGCTTATTTTATTTTAATGTCTTGTTGATGTTGATGTTCATAACCATTCCTTTTTGCTTTCTTTTCCAATTTGAGGAATTTTTTTTTTCTGGGTGTATAATTCTTTCGACTGTTGGAAATTATTTTGGAGATAGTATTAATAGAAAAGTCATCCCATTCGTCAACAATTCAAGAAGTTAACCCAGGATTGAAGCATCTTATGTATGTTGCCAATCACTTGCAGTATGGTGGGCTTACAGGTTTTTCTCCATCTGTTCTTTTTTCTTTTCTTTTCCTTTTGTTAATAATTGATTAAATCTGTTGTCTTCTTAAACGGTTTGGTCAATTAGTTACTGATCTAAAATTGTTACACTCTCCATGTTACGTTTTTGGGGCGTTGATTTCTCCTGGCGATGGGTGGCTGGTGTTTTTGACATTGATTCCCTTGAATGCTGTCTCCTATCTTTATGGTCCTGTGGTACGAGATGGACAAGGAAGGCGGATGAGAGGAAGCTGGGACTCTTTATGATTCTGTTGGGCAATGAGGCGGGGATTCTCTCTGAGGGTTGGCTCTGAGTTGAAAGGTTTTTCTGGTGCAGGATTGCTTTGCTTGTTTTATGATCTCATGCATGTGGATTCCGGTCGGGGGGTAGAGAATGGCTTGCTCTGGTTTGCTGAAGAGATATGGTTGGCTGGATTGGTGGCGTCCTGGCGTGTGATGCCATTCTCTTTGTGCGATTGTGATGTGCTGGGTGGCTTCTCCTCCCTCCTTTCTGTGATTGGGAGTCTGGCTAAGGGTTGCCGATCAAGGCTGATCAGCTTGGGGTCGAACGCTCACAGCGCTTCTGGGGATCTTCTTTTGACCAACTTTGGTCTCTATTTGTGAATCCCCGGCATTTGTATTTTTTAATTTTATTCAATTTTATTTTTATATTTAAAATTAAAATATTTTAATTTTTTGATTTTAAAAATTATATCAATTTAGTCTTTTTCTCTAACAGTATCTAATTTTATAGTTAAAAGATGATGTTAATGCTGATGTTAGTATTAACGTGATGTTGAGATAATGATACTGAGTGATAATGTGATAATATAACGTGATATTATACGATGATGTGACAGTGTTGATGTGATATTGATATGCTGACATGTTAATGTCATGTGATAGATCAAAAAATTATTTAAACAAAGAATTCTATCAAGTCATAGGGATTAAATTAAATCAAATATATAATACATGGAATAAATTGAAAAAAATTAATATGTTGAACCAAATTGAAAAAAAATTAAAAAAATATCAATTTTTAAATAGATTATTGATATGCTTATTAATAAGCCAAATATTTAAGTGTAAAAGATTTATAGTATTAAAAAATATATATAAATATTTTTTTACTTTATTATTTGATTATAAAATATATAAATTAATTTATCTTTTTTACAAAAATTAAGTTTGAATTCTCCTTCTATAAAAAAATTTTGAAAAAATTTTATACTTAAAGTCAAATTTAGATGAATAATTTGCATTACGTTAAAATAAAATAATAACAAATAATTAAATATGTTGATTTGGTTATAATTTTTATAATTTACAAATACATATTTTTTTAAAATTATTCAACTCTTACTCAATTAACATTTTATTTAAATTTATTCAAATTAGAAAAATATGTTGATTTAGTTACAACTTTCACAATTTACAAATACATATTCTTTTACAATTATTTAACTCTTACCCAATTTACCTTTTATTTAAATTTACTCAAAATTTTTTATAAAATAATTTATTTAAATTTAAATACCACAATCAAATTCTGTTAAATTTAAATTTAAATTATTAATTTAGATCAATAAAAAATTTGTTAATAAAATAAAATGGTACAAATATTTATATTTATATTTAACTTTATCAATCATAAATGCAGTTTTTAATCTAGAAAATTTTAACTTAAAAAATATAACTTGAAATATTAAACAAAATAAAAATATAAAAAATAAATAAAAAGTTGAAAGGATAGAACTCAGATTCTATGGTTGTAATAAGAGGTTTGTTATATCCAAATTAAGCAAGTCAAAACAAAAAATTATTTTTATAATTATCACTAAATCCATATCTCCGTTTTTCAGTTTTTTAAAAGAAAAAACTAAATCAACATATTTTGCTAATTTAACTTTAGCTCAAGTTAAAAATTAAGTTAAATAAATTTTAAATTTTTATACTATTATAAATAGAAAGAAAAAGAATTTGACTTTTTTTTATTTTATATTTATATAATATAAGTTATTCATCTAAATTTGACTTTACGTATGAAATTTTTTCTTAATTTTTTTGTAGAAGAAGTGTTAAAACTTAATATTTGTAAAAAATATAAATTAATTTATATATTTTAAAATCAAATAATCAAGTAAGAAAATATTTATATATATATATATATATTAACATAATAAATCTTTTACATTTAAATATTTAGTTTATTAATAAGCATATCAATAATCTACTTAAAGATTTTTATTTTTTAAATAATTTTTCAATTTAATCCTTGAATATCTCAATTTTGTTTAATTTAATCTCAATATTATATATTTTTATTTAATTTAATCTCTATAACATGATAAAAATTTTTATTTGAAATTTTTTTTGATTTGCTATGTGACACTGCTATATCAGCATGTTATTGTCACATCACATGGCATTACCACGTCATCACTCACGTGTCACGTGTCATGTGACATATCACGTCATCACTTACGTGTCATGTGACATATCACATACTCAAAATATAACACATCAATGCTAATATCATTACTGACGACAGCGCTGATATCATCTTTTAATAGTAAAATTGAATGCGGTTAGAAAGAGGAAATAAATTGATATAATTTTTAAAATTAAATAATTAAATTATTTTAATTTGGAGTGTAAAGATTAAATTAAACAAATTTAAAGAGTAGATAGAATAAAAAGGTCTTGAGACCATTTGTAAATATTTGGACTTTAGTTCATCTTTTGTCTTCTAGTCGCCCATTCCTTCTCTGTTGACAGGGGCCTGTTCTCTTACTGCTTCAATGCCAAAGGCTGGCTGCAGTTCCTTTGTTTTGTACAAGGGCAAAGCCCGTTCTCAAGCTTGCTGTCTTATGTCATGAAGAGTCTTACACCAGTTAGTTGCTAGACTTGAAATGGCATTCAAGCTTTTGGTTGAATAAAATTCACCTTTCAAAAAAAGAAAAAACAACACAAACCCAAAATTAACAGCATGCAACCCACGTATCCATCTTGTCTACTACCCTTTTTGCAATACGTAGGAAGAGTTTTCACAAGGATTAAGCAGATAGTGAATAGTAACCATTTGGCTCAAAAGGATGGCAGTCATCTTTTACTCAAAGATGAGTTTCTTGGCGATTGGAAAACAGAATTTTTATGGACTACAGTATGTTTGAACAGGAAGCCTTTGCCAGTCAATCTTGCTAAGGTTTGCCTTGAGACTTGAGTGCTTACATGCAATTGTTTTATATTCGGAGGGAAAAGGAGAATCCACTCCACATCAGCGACAACACACAAGAGAAGAAGATCAGATGATCTCCTTAACATCGTTCCGGCGCTTGTGGCAGAACATGTTTTGCTGCCTTCTTTTTTTAACTGATCATCAATAGTCAAAACAAATTGATCATTCATAATGGACTGGAGATATCTCAAACCAGTCAAAAGAATGGATTGGGAATGGTGGAATGGATTTGAAAGCGACGCCAATCAAAACCTACAATATTGACTGTTGAAACTGCACTCATTTGATTCAGTCCGATGATGGAAGTGTGTTTAATTTTCTCCTTGTACAAAAGAAAACCATCGAAATGAATTCTTGATTATTCCATCGACAGCCTTTCTAGAACAATTATTCCAATGGTAAGGGCCTTTCGGGAAGGGCAAGAAGGCTTTCTCAGAGAAAAAAATTAAATTGAAGGGCATCATTGCTACGAATCCCAAATGTAAAGGGGAAGTTGTGCTCCAAAGCAGCCCCTAGACCGAGCCAAGGAAAATTGGCAAGAGACTACCCTGATACTTGGGCTTCATTCAATGAAAATACAAAATTCGGCTGCCCACCTAGGGGGATATAGGCCCAGTTAATTTTAGGACTTGGGAGGCTAAGCCTCTTATCAGCCTTAACATCAAGCCTGTTAGTCCGTATTCCTAAAATTGATTTTTTTTAATCTCAATTTTAATGAATTTAACGTTATATCTTTATTAATAATTGATTTAAGATATCATGATAATGAAAAGATTATTTTTACTTTATATGACATCACATTTTGAGGATGACCCATCATGCTAATGTGGATTAATTTATTGATTACTTGATCATCAATTTAAAAACATTTTGAAAATCTATACAAAATTAATTACTATGAATAGCACCCTAAAGTAGCAAAATACTAGAAAGTTAATGGGTTTTCTAGAAAGTTTCTGTTGATATTAACAGGTTGCAGAAAATAGTTGATGAAGTGAGACATTAATGGATTTATAGGGAGATTAATCACTTTGTGGATGTACTCGTTAATAATAAGTGTGAATCAATTGAATATGTTCGTGGTATATGGATTAATAACTCAAACATAGATATTATCAGACTTGACATGATCACAGAGTTTGGATGATTGGACACATTTTTCTTTTAAGCCTTTTTGCAGAATATGCGTATGGGCCAACCCCATATTTTTTCTCTACCGTTTTGCCCCCGAATCTAATGAGGGTTGGAGAGGGCCCAAAGCAGGTTCAAGACAGATGAAAATGATAATGTTGTCACCTCAGACAAATGAAACATACGTACAATACTGTTGCAAGTCGAAAAGAAGATAATGCAACCACTCGTCAAGCCCCGATGATCAAGTCCCTTGGCCTTTTAGACCGTACCGACCGCATCCGATCTGGATGTGATAAAACAGTAAGTTGGTGATAGTTACTATCTTGTCTTGCTTTAAATCGCGCGTTTCACGTTCGTAGCTCGCTCGAGTCTGTCGTTTTTGGGATGGAAAAAAAAAAGAGAGAGCACCAGGTAACCTGCTTTTCTACCCCTCTCCCTCTTCCGGTTAATCGAAACCTTCATTTATTCTTTGGCTATAGAGCTCAAACTCAGCCTTCGACGACCATAACGCAGCAAAACTGGAGAAGAGATAAAGCACTTCAATTTAGTGATTGAATCCTTGGGTTAACGGGTGATTGAGCTACGAATATGATGCAGTCTGATCATGGTATGCTGATCGAGCAGCTCTTGGTGGGTCTGACAGTACTAGCGAAGCAAGTTGGCGAGGCGGTTGATCAGGCCAAATCGTTCAGGGTCGACCGCGGGGAGATGGAAAAGCGAGTTCTTCAGCTCTCGCAAATGCTAAACAACCTGCTCTGCTTCATCACCATGGATCCGATGATGTTTAACTTGAACCCAATTAATTGTGTCATCGGAGGGGTCTCCAAGATCCTTGAGGAGGCCTTAACTCTGGCCTGCAAGTGTAGACGCAAAACCATCGTTTGCCGACTCTTCACCGGCACAGAATCAAAATTAGCCACCACTATCCACAAGCTCTACCAACTTTTAGACGTTTCTATCGAATCCATGAACTGTCTTCTTATCTTGTACAACCCCGATTTCAGCAGCGCCTTTGATGAATTCTTTCTCTCGTTGCCTCAATTCCTCAGCAACGATTCATCTGCTCTTTCGGCCTGGTCTTGCATGGTTACAGAAAAATTGATTTGGCAGCTAGCCCCCATGCTGGGTGAAACTTCTCCACCTGAGCTAAAAATATGTTGTGCGGAAGCTTTATCGATGCTTAACGTTGGGAGTGTTCTAAACAGTAGTGGGACGATAGACGAGACAGAAGAATTAATGTTTTGCTTGGCTAAATTGGTGGAAGCGGAGGATGGTGAATTCCAGTTCAATTGCTTGACGATTATAATGGAAATCACTGCCGCAGCCGAATCTGATCTCGATCTTAGATGCAAAACATTTAAGACCAATTCACCTGGTGCAAAGGCTATCGTTGAACTGCTCTTAAGGGTGATTAAAGAATCAGAGGATCACCCTAAAATCCAAGTTCCTGCCATCAAATCGATCGGGTCCTTGGCGAGAATTTTCAAAAAAAGAGAAAGTCCTCATGTGATTAGTGTTTTGGTGTCGCAGCTTGTCAATGTGCACCAAGAAGTGGCAACGGAAGCTATCGTTGCTTTACAAAAGCTTGCCTATCCAGGCAATTATCTTTGCAAAGCGCATTCAAAGATAATGATCGAGTTCAACGCTGTAAAGCCTTTGATGAAATTGCTGAGAGATGGTGAAAGGACACAGCAGCTGCATGGATTGGTGCTTATCTGCTACCTTGCTGTGAATGCTAATTACAGCAAGGCTATGGAAGAAGCCAGGGTCAGGACTGCCATTCAACAATTATTAACTAGAAAGGGGAGGCCGCACAGGCACGATGTTTCGCAGCATCCCGAATTGAAAGAATTGGTACCCAGGGCCTTGGGGTCTCTGATATTGTATTATAAATACTAAAGAGCATGTAGTTCATCAAACGTAGGCAGTATTAGTGTTCACTAACCGTAGAAACAGTCTTATCGTAAAATACTTGTACATGTTATTTATCGATTCTAGATAAAAAAAAAAGGGGTTAAAATTTCAGAATCATTGCTTGAGTTGGTAAAAAAAGTTGCCTTAAAAAGACAAAAGAGGTTAACTCAGGTGAACATTCTATATGGGCCCAACCCCGAAATCTTTACTATTTGGACCCAACTAAGACAATGGGGCCGAATCAGGTTTTACGTGTTTAGGTCAATATAAGAACATTCATGTATCTTGATTAATGCTTTTACTGTTGGACATAAAATTAAATCATAATGTTTGAAAATTCTTTTGAATTATTTTAAAAAAATTAAATAAATATTTATTTTTTATTATATTCATTGTTGTATTTTTATTTTAAATAAAATAAAATTTTATAATTAATTATAATTAATCAAAATATGATTTGTCATTTTATACTCATACAACGATAACGTGACATAAATGTAAAAGATGAAAAAAATTATATTGTCATATCATCACGTTATATCAATATTATTATAATAATATATTAACAAAACATATGAATATTATGTGACATAAATTTGACAATTGATATCTTAATTAATATAGATTAGTTAAGCATTAGTCATAATAGATTATTTAGATTAAAATATAAATATAAAATCTTGATTAATCATAATAAAAAATAAAAATTTATTTAAATTTTTTTAAAAAATATTATGCCTGAAATTAAAATCCACCAAAAGCTAAATTGTTTCTTTTCATGGTCTTTGTTAGAACACCAAACTGAAAACTTAGAAATTGGCTTCAAGGCGTGTATCAATGCCACTATCCTTAAGGTTTTATTCGCCCTCACTTGTAGTGTGCAAAAGAGTTACCGGCGTATAAACCTCGAAGATACAATGAAACCCAGTGATTGATGGCGTTTTGCACTGACGAAATCAATCCACTAAGCACTTACCAGAGTATAACAAGATTATCAAACTTCTATAATATTTTTTCTGCAGGAAAATAGTATAGAAGAAAACTTGGAAGATGTTTGAGGAAGAAGAAGGAGAGATATTACTGTTTTTCTTTTTTTTTATTTTTTCATTGGATAAGGAAGGTCATCTTTTATAGGCATAGATGCCTGTTCTCAACAGACACTATTTGTGTCTGTTTCAAAGAGTTGCTTCTGTTGGTCTTTTCCAACAGATGTAACTCTTTTCTTATTTTATAGTATCTATTGATTTAATTTTCAACAGACACAATCCTTCTTTTAATTTCCAACAGTCACAACTTTCTTTTAATTTCCAACAGTCACAACTTTCTTTCTATTTCGATATGAAATCATATTTTTATTTGAAAATGTCCAACAATCCCCCACCATTTTCAAATTAATCCAAATTTTTCGATAATCTTGGAAATCAATTGCATAAATGAAGGTGTCTTCCGATTGAACCTTCACTTAGTGAAAACATATTAAAGTTAACCGAAATTGCATGGTAGACTCTGCTTTGAACCAGCTATTCCATTTGGTTAACCGAACACATTTCACACAATGATTTCAACACCAATGAATGCACAGTATCCGGCGACGCTTTTATGGCCATGCGTCCATATCCTCTTTTCATGAGTGCTGTTAGAGCCAAGCTCTTGAACTCCTAGAAGCGGCCACACTTCACACTCACATAGGTAGATCCCATGAATGCCCCCGTAACTAAAGCATTCTAACAAATTATGTTATGGGTCTATTAAGATATATAACTCATCCTTTCCTTATCATTACAGGTCCCTAGCACTTTACTTAGGATGGAATATAACATATTATATTATAATGCTAGCAGCCACATACAAATGATGTACTTTGTC